CCATATGGGGCGCAGCATGTGTTTTAGGATATAACTCAGGTTATAGAGCACATTTTGTTATTATTGTTCATTTATTCGTTTGCTGGAAATTAGAACTGAATTTAGAAATAGTTTTGAAACGAATATTTGCGCTTAACAAACGCAATTAATTATTTATAGGCTAATTGATGTCTGTGCGTAAAGGTTTCCCTATCCAAGAGCGAAAGTGAAAGTGAACCATTATCCTTCATTCTCACGCAGTAGATGCTCTGTTTAACAGTTTTCTGTTAAAAACTGCTAATTTTAGTCCCTTTATTAATCCGGGGTCGCCACAACGGAATGAACCGCCAACTTATACAGCAAGTTTTTATGCAGCGGATGCCCTTCTAGCCGCAACCCATCTCTGGGAAACATCCACACACACACACTCTCATACAACACCAAGGACAATTTAACCAACCCAATTCACCTGTACCGCATGTCTTTGGACTGGGGGAAACTGGAGCACCCGGAGGAAACCCACACGAAAGCAGGGAGAACATGCAAACTCTACACAGAAACGCCAACTGAGCCGAGGTTCGAACCAGCGACGCAGCGACCTTCTTGCTGTGAGGCGAACGTGCTACCCACTCCGCCACTGCCTCGCCCACAGAGTGTTTTATTTCTTCAAATTAACAACATAAAAACGCTGGACCAATTGGAGCGGTTTTTAGATCGACTGCAACTTGACGTAGGAGTGCGGTCCCCCCGCCCACCAATGTTGATTGACACCATATCCTCAGTTTGTTGTTTCACGTCCGCCATTTTCAGTGTGCGAGTCAAAGCGATGTCACTAAAGGAACACCCTTGCACTATTTTTAGATGTAAGGCTCATTGGACTCAAGACAAGATTAACATTCTCCACATGATCGCTGTAATCGGAATTATTGTTTGTAACTTTGTTTGTAGGTAGGTTTGCAATTGTGTAATTTTCATTGCATCCATTTTAAACTTCAGCCATGATTCGGGACACTTCATGTTTCTACTGCGCCACTCCATCTGAATAGTTTCATTTTAAATAACATGCTAATGTGCGAGCCTGGTGTGCTGTGTCGCGGCTCTAAGCGGGTCATCCAGTGCATCATTCAAAGTTAATTCAGTGTGCGTGGTAATTATGCTGTGTTCACACCAGATGCGGAACGCGTGGATAAATCGCGCTATTCGCGCGTAAATAGCCGCGTGAACATTTGAGTTTACTCGCTTCATACGCATGTCAAACACCGCTTCATACGCGCGTCAAACCCCGCTTCATTCGCGTGTCAAATTCACTTCAGAACAGACGCGGATTCGCGTGATGGGCAGGGCTTCTGTCTGCCCGGTGACTCTAGCTTCATAGCTAAATGGCTAACATGGATTTTATGAAGAAAATAACAGTGTTTATGTGCTTTATGAAAAATGAAAAACAGCGTCGATACGTTTAGGGTCGTGTCTGAGTCCACTACATTTTTTCAGAGGTGCATCCAGCTCTGTGAGCTCATAAACTCCTCCAGAAACTTAACCTGGATGACGGAGGCTTTCAGCGGTGCTTCTGACTGAGCCAAGCCGAGTTTGATGAACTGTTGTCGGTGAAGGCTGGAGGATTTCCCTCGGAACACCGACAACATGTTCTACGTCACAATCACGCCCCCACAAGAGCAAGCTTCTGATTGGTTAACGCGGCGTGAATGTACGCTGAAGTTCAGATTTCGCGCGAAACGCTCGTTAAGCGCGTCAAACGTGCAAAACGCTCAATTCGCCCTGCGCAATTTGCGTCATTCGCGTCGCGCCATTCGCGCGTATCGCGACGCAGGATGTCTATTCGCCCGTTTGCATTGACTTAACATGTAAATCACTCGCGTTTGACCCGCGTGCCGCGTCTGGTGTGAACGCAGCATAAGTCTCGGTGTACAAGCTCGGAACTATAAACTAGCACACAGTTGGCTTTAAAACTATACAAAGACACAAATGATTTTGTACTCTCTGCTGGGTCTGTGTCCGAGTCGTACATGTACGGCTAAATGCTGATCCTCTTACTCATGCTGCTTCTCTCTGTCTGCCTGTCAGTTGCCAAACACAGAGTGGGGAAAGCTCTTGGCTCCGCCCCATTGTTACGTTGGGCGAACTGTGTACACGCCCCCCAAAAAAACACTTAAAACATTATAATAAAAAAATCTGATCTGTTTTTTGCACTGTACCTAAACTGGCACACTCAGAAGAACCATAATATTAATATTAAATAATAAAAAAAGGGGTATACTATGTTCCCTTTAAGACTGTGAAAACAATATAAACGGTGTTAAATTAATAGATACTTATGACTCAATTGAATATATGGACAAACACAATTCTTCTGCTCATAACCTTTGGAGAGAAAAAAAGTGCAGACACTGGTCTAGGGTGACTCTTTTTAATGTGCATATTATTGCGGATATACCAGAAAATGGTACAATTCCTTGGTTTATTAAAATTATTATTATTATTAATTTGAAGTTATATTTTATATGTTATATTTCACATTGTTATTTAATTTTTGTTGCATTTCTTACTTGAATGCTACTGTTAAATAGACCTGGAAATATTAAAGCACTACTTATTTAAATTTGCATCTCTATTTTATTGAATTTTATACTATTTTATTGAACATTTTTCTTATTTTAAATACAAAAGATTAAACAACTAGGATAGCTAAATTGGGATATACCATTTATAATGAAATAAAATGGAAAACAATTGTGAAATAAGGTTTTGGCTGCTTATCTCACTCCTACAATTAAGCTTTATGTGAAACGAATGTGACTTTTTCTTTTTTTTTTTTTTCTTTCAATAGTAGAATTAAAAAATTTGGATTTATCTTTTGGACTAACTTAAAGTCTGTGTGAAATCAAAATGCTTTTTTTGCCAACACATTATGTTATTCTTAGGGTGAATAATTAATTTGTGCAAATTAACGCACTGAAGATTTTTTTTTTTTTTTTCTGGAAATCTCCAATCAAATTTTGACCGTTTACATCTGTGTTTAAGGGCAGACCTGTTGACGTCAACCTGATGGCTTCCATAGCAACTGCAAAGCAATATTCTTAACCACACCCCTCTTACTGTTAGTATATTTAAAATATGAACAACATGTACATTTTAAAAAGGAGGCGTGGCACCAAATCCTCCCCATAAACCCAACTGTCATTGGGGGATAAGCAAATCGTACTAAATTGTACAAGTGACCCCCGACCCATCCAATTAATGAGTATTGTTAAATGGGAACAAACAAAACATTACACAAACATAAAAACAATACAATTTGAAATATACAAGTCAAATCAATTTAAATACACTAATAATCACTATTAACTATTTAATATTATTATTTTATATTGGTATAGGTAGATATCACTTTGAATGATCATTTATCTGTTTTGACTAAGATATCTTGTATTGGGTAACTTGTTTTTAAGTTAATTTCATACAGTTAATTAATAAATTTGATTAATATTTTGATTGTAAAGTTGTCCATACATCACTAAAGAACATTTAAAATAGATGTCTAACAGAAAAAAACTGCATACATAAACATAATTCATAGTCCTTTTAAAACCTCACACACAGGATCGATGTTTTACAATCCCTTCAAACCAAAACCCAGCACTGCGCTGGTGCAGCGTCTCCATCTGGTGTGCGTGAGCAGAACTGCAGCGGCAGGATCTATAATTTCCTGTGCTCTATGCTGCAGAACAGGAAGTAAAGCACATTCTCTCCCACATCCTGTTGCAAAGCTCTGCCAGAGATAAACCGACTGAAAACACAAACCTGCCAAAACCACGCAACGACTTCCATTTCACATCATGTTTATTCGAAATTCAAGAGCATTGGACAGCCAAATGCACATGGCTTCCTCACTGCACATCAGAACAAAAACTAAACAAATAGTTCACCCAAATAATATTTCGGTCATCATTTACTGACTCTCAAGCTGTCACAAAAGACGACATATAAAACACTAGTCATAATTGACAAATAAATGCTTTTGCAATAGAGCAGTGGTCACCAAACTTGTTCCTGGAGGGCCGGTGTCCTGCAGATTTTAGCTCTAACCCTAATCAAACACACCTGAACACGCTAATCAAGGTCTTACTAGGTATACTTGAAACATCCAGGCAGGTGTGTTGAGGCAAGCTGGAGCTAAACCCTGCATGGCACCGGACCTCCAAGAATGAGATTGGTGACCCCCGCAATAAGAGTTTTTGCCTTGTTTCTAGTCCAAAAATATATTATTTTCTGAAAATCGAGAAGCATTTTCTAGGCAAGTAATAATATAGGGTGAATTTGGGTAATCTGGGACACTTTGTGCAATTTTGACTTCAGGTCTTGATTTCTAAATAATTAGAATAACATATGAGATATTTCTGAAATCCCTAAGATGTTTTCTAACTACCTAAGAAAACAATGTAGATATTACACCTATTAATTGTGTGTCCAAAAAAAATAAATAAAAAAATAATAATAATCTGCTTGAATTAGATATTCTGGGACAGGTCACTTTGTAATCTGGGACATATGTATTTGGGCTGAAAAAAAAAAGTGTATATACATGCATATTATATATATATATATATGTGTGTGTGTGTGTGTGTGTGTGTGTGTGTGTGTGTGTATATATATATATATATATATATATATATATATATACACACACAAACACATACATACATACACATTATATATATATGTATATGCATGTGTGTGTGAGAAAGACTGTGTGTAAGGATGTGTGTGTGTTTGTGCTTAAGTGGGTGAGTGAGTGTAAATGAGTGTGTGTGTGTGTGTGTGTGTGTGTGTGTGCATATGCGAGTTTGTGTACTGAACATTGTACATTCAATCTCTGTATCCTTAAATTTATAAAGTCTCTAAATACACATTTCTCCGATTCGAAGACTGTCCCAGATTATCAGTCATATTTGATAATGTTGGACATCAAAAAATGTTCAATATAAAAAAAAAAAAATCTAAAAAACATTTTCAACACTTTAATGCATATTTTGTTACTTGTATAGACCACAAACATAAACTGACAACAATTGGGAACATTGTCTTATTTATGACATGTTTATGTCCTTAACATTAATCAAGTCAGAATCCTATGCCACTGACCTTGTCATCTAATTTTGACGAGAGCTTCCTGACTGACAAGTGGCCTGCCCCCTCTCTGTGAAACCCCCCCAATGAAGTCATGTGATTTCACTCACATGGAGTCCATGCTAAATTTAAAATAAAAGTCCTGTTGACTGAATTTTGTTAGAACAGAAATAAACACACTGAAGCTTAGGTGTCACCAATTACCCGAATTCACCCTATAGATTTGCTTTCAGAATTAATAGGTCAAAATAAAGTACGTTCTTCCTTAAAACAATCAAAATAAAGTCTTGGTTCTATTTTTAGTTATGTTTATTTTATGTATACCCCATTGCAATAGGGCAGAGGTTACCAAACATGTTCCTGGAGGGCCGGTGTCCTGCAGATTTTATCTCCAACCCTAATCAAACACACCTGAACAAGCTAATCAAGGTCTTACTAGGTGTACTTGAAACACCCAAACAGGTGTGTTAAGGCAAGTTAAAGCTAAACCCTGTAGGGACAGCAGACTTCCTGGAATGAGATTGCTGACCCCTGCAATAGGGTAAACGAGAAATAAACATAACTCAAAATGAAACCAAGACTTTATTTTGATTGTTTTAGGGAAGAACGTATGGCAGATAATTAGATCTGGTTTGAAGGAAAAACCCATTTAATTTTGACTTATTATTTTTATATAATATTTTGTACAAAAGCTTCTTCATTTAAGCATTTTAAGATATTTGAAGAAAAATCAAGACAAAAACAGTTTAAGCGGAGAGCTTCCAGAGTCCAGCATTCCTCCAAATATCTTATTTTGTGTTTAACAGAAAAACTTTAATGTTTCAGTATAAATGATAACAGAATATTAATTTTTGGGTGAACTATCCCTTTAAATACTGTTTAAATGGTACCTGGTTTAGTTTTACACCTATACAGAAGCACAAATCATACATTTTTACCTCTTAATCACTGAAATGTTTGTTGTGCGTATTAGCTTTGGCTCACATTCACCAGTGCTGTAGTGCAGACATATTTTAGAGGACATTTAAAGCACATTTAAACAAATATGGGTTGTTTTGGAGGCTGAGAGGAAGAGCAAGTGTAAAAACCGCATCATGTTTTCAGTATGTTTCCTGATGCATGTCTGCAGCGCTACAGGAAGTCCTCGGCGAGAATTAACATCGACAATTACAGTCCCTGTGATATGAAAGCATCACCTCCAGCGGTCTGAAAACACTGACGTCAGAACTCACTCAATGTTTAGGAAGTTTTCTTCTTAATAATCAGCGGGCCGACGTTATCGCCGGTTTCCTCGTTGTGCTTGGCGTGTGCGCCGTCACAGTAGGGAAACTGTCAAGGGAACAAACAAATACATACAAATCACAACCACACTCGCCGGTCTGTCAGATGCTATGATGATGCAGGCTATATTCCTGTCATGTGGTTATGATGTTGCATTAACAGTTTGCATTAGTATGAAGCTTTTCTAGATGCAGTGGTGCTTTTGTTTCAAACCAGTTTGAGTTTCTTTTTATCTGTTGAACACAAAGGGAGATATACTGAAGAATGTTGAAGAACAAAATGGCTAGGGAAATCCATAGTATTGCTGTTGTTGTTCCTAGACCTACTATGGATGGCTGTTTTCCTCAAAAATCATCTTCTGGGTTCAACAAAAGAAAGATATTCAGAAAAGTTTAGAACTTTTAAAGGTACACTCTCAGAACATTTGTAAAAACTGTACCTTATATGGTGCAGAACAGACCTCTTATGTTACTGTTCTGTGCCTTTTATAGTACAATAAAAATGAGGGAACACAATTGTTCTCATAAAAAAGGTATATACAGTTGAAGTCAGAATTATTAGCCCCCCTTTAATTTTTTTTCTCTTTTCTAAATATTTCCCAAATAATGTTTAACAGAGCAAGGAAATTTTCACAGTATGTCTGATAATATTTTTTCTTCTGGAAAAAGTCTTATTTGTTTTATTTTGGCTAGAATAAAAGCAGTTTTACATTTTTCATACACCATTTTACGGACAAAATTATTAGCCACTTTAGGCAATTTTTTTCCCCGATAGCCTACAGAACAAACCATCGTTATACAATAACTTGCCTAATTACCCTAACCTGCCTAGTTAACCTAATTAACCTGGTTAAGCCTTTAAATGTCACTTTAAGCTGTATAGAAGTGTCTTGAAAAATATCTAGTAAAATATTATTATTCTCATGATGACAAAGACAAAATAAATTAAGTATTTGAGATAATTTATTAAAATTAATATGTTTAGAAATGTGTTAAAAAAAATCTTCTCTCTGTTAAACAGAAAAGGGGGAAAAATATATAGTGGGCCTAATAATTCAGGAGGGCTAATAATTCAGACCTCAACTGTAAGTGTTGGACAGCTCCTTCTTTATTACAATATCAATGAAAATGAATATTACTGGAAAGGCAAAGTGATTTATGAATAATTTTCGTATTTACACATGAATCATTATTTAGAATGATGTCTAACTCAAACATTTATTTAGTTCTATAATACAAAACTGGTAAAAAAAAAAAACTATAGATATTGTAAAGAACCTGAAGAAAAACAAATATCAAAAGAATTTAAGCGTGAAAAATGTAAAAAGAAAAAAGCAATACAGTACGAGGCAAATTAAGTTTTGAATAAAAGCATTGACAAGATTGACGGATCAAAGAAGTATCCTAAAAACCACAAAGGCGCAGGGCAAACTTCAACACAATAAACATTTGGTAAACCTTTTCTGATAAATACAGTTTCATTATTGATATCTGCACCTCTTGGCGTTGACTTTCTACTAAGCACGTGAGCTGGCTAAAGTCCAGCATATGCAAAGTGTTCATGCAGACATTCTACTATTGTAAAACTGATCAAACATTGCGCATATCTTGTTACAATACTTTTGCATAACTCTATTTCTATTTTAAAATTAAGTCAATTAAATTAACTTTAAGTGATTACAAAGACATTGTGTGAAAATTGGAGAAAAAATGTTTAATATTGTACAGGTGAATGTATTTCTGTAACATTTTTGTGAAAATTGTTTTGAAATGTTTATCAAACAAATTTGTTTTATTCTTCATTGTAAATGAAAAGATGCATTTACTCAAATATAAAGTTTTTAAAAACATTGTTCAAAATGTATTTGATGTTTTATAATTACTGAAAATAAATTGATGCATTTTGGATGGAGCAAAATGTCTTTTATTAGCTCTTTAAGGAACACATTTGACACTGTTAACTACAAAGTGTCTTGTCACTAGTGGTACCTTCATGGATCAGATTTGTACCTTTGATAAATGTACAATATTGTACCTGCAGTTTTTAAAAACCAAAGGTACATTTTGGTTTCCTATGGTATAAATCAGGTCTTTAAAGAGGTACAAACTGCAATGGTTCAAATTTGTTTCTTTGTCTTAAGGTACAATTGTGTCCCATAAAAAGGTACAGCCCCAGTGACAAGGGTTTGTACCTTATTTATAACATTGCACCATCTTTTTCTGAGAGTGCATACACACACCATAATAACTAGAAAAATACCTATGAAAACAACCCATCGAAGAGGGCTTTAAGACCAAGCGGAATTGTGTCTTGGCTGCTGCTTCGGTCTGGCTTCCTGTTCTGAAGTGCCAAATTCAGCATCCCAAATTCGGACTGAGGAAAGTTGAAAGCTCTGGCCAGTTTGTTTGCCTAATGAATGATAATAGACTGGTATTTAATCTATAACTTTAACAGATTCCTATTTTTTATGATTTATGATGTTAAAACTTTGTATTTAAAAAAAATAAGTACTGTTTTCATGTTTCTTTATTCTATATAAAAATAGTGCTTAAAATATCACTAAAATGAAGTATTTAAACCTCGTAATTAAACAGAAAATAAGGCGAATAATAGCTAAAAGGTCCGCTTTTTCAGAAAAAGAACCACCCCTTTTACCAGGCTGGCTACAAGCCGGAACTTCTTGAGTGTGAGAAAACAGTGAGGACATTTTTGGGGGAACTGTCCCTTTAAAGGTGCTGTATGTATGTTTTTGATTAGATTAATTATTAGATGAATTAGATTTGATAAACAGAGCAATGAGCGTGCCATAGAGAAACATACGCATTGTATGCCTTGCATAATGTTATACAGCAGGTTTTCATGCTTTTTTATGTCCATGAATGAAATAACGGTATTGACCTTATTCTACAATGTGGAAGTGTGCCTGTTTTCACGATTGTTTTAGAACTTCCGATTCAGTCGCCTATGAGAGAAATTATTAGGAATAATAAACGACACAAAATGGTCAAACTACTTGCTCTACAAACAAATGTTTGCATGACTATATAGACCAAGTAGAATAATGTAATAAGAAAATATCAGTTTGCAACATCAAACAGCAAATGAGCAGTTTTTAACGTCTAAAAATGAATGGAAGTGAATGACACCGGAAGTCTCGAGCCAAAAAGATTCAAACGGCTGCGCCCACTCGTCGGTGAAAACTAAGGTGAATAGCACACTGAACAATTTACATTGTGGTATAGTAAAAGCAAATACATTTACTTTCATAATTTTTAAAATGTAATATTAAATGTCAAGGATAACTAGATTTTCCTAAGTAAAACATTAAATATTTGCATCATTACTTTGAAGATTTAGAAGAGTTTTGAGTAAGTGTTTTTAGTTTTCAGGTTACCACCCTGCAGAAGAGTAGCGCTCATGCTTTAGGTCTTGGCATTTTTATTATCAGCATTATTGTTTGATGCTTCACCCAGAGAGCTGCGATAACAGGGCTTAGAGCTCAGTCAGCAGTTTTAACGTATACTTGCTCTTGGGTTTAATTTGCTTCAAGTCAGTGGACATGTCATGCCTTAATAAATTAAGTTACGCCAAGTGTAGTAATTTGTGACTAATAGGATTTACTTAACTTGATAAAATCAATGTTCCTTCTGCTAAAAAAAAAACTTAACTTTACTTGACTAATTTAAATTAATGTAGACTCAAAAGGAAAGATAATCAATTCACTTTTACTTAATTTATTTAGGAGTGTTGGGTTAAACATTAAGAACATTTTACATAAAGTTAATTGTACTTTTTATCAATATGAGTTTTTTTTTCAGTGCAGATTAAAAAATTGAGTTATAATGTTACTCAAAATGACGATTTAGTACATTTGAAGTCATTAAAAATAGATAAACTTTTTTAAAACTGTGATTCTGTAAAACAAACAAAAAAGTAATAATAAAAAACATGTCTGTCTTAAAATAAACAACATTTTCTTAAGGATAAGCAACATCAGATCAGCTAATGCTGTTACACGCTACATATTACTTGAGCATTACTGTAATATTACAGTAATAGTTCACCCATAAATGAAAATTCTGTCATCATTTTCTCACCTTTCATGTGTTCCAAACTTTCTGTTAAACACAAAAAAAGATATTTTAAAAAAAGCTGGAAACGAGTAACCATTGACTTCCATTATATTTTTTTCCCTACAGGGCTCCTGCTTAAAGCCGAATATCCATTTCGCTGACTAGAAAGATTAATTAACATGACATCTAACGAACGTTAAAAAAGGCTGCTGTTATGCTTATATATTAATAATGTATTAAAATACTTTAAAAATAAAAGCATAATATTTAAACAGTTTTAGCCTAATAACTGCTACTATAAGAAAAACAATAGATCGTTTACCTTAGATTTTGGAAAAATATCTTAAGTACTAGTTGTTTGGCAGTGAAGTTCTTAAAACTCTTTTTTGACATTTGAGCGAGATGCTAATGGTCTAATCCGATTCAATGACCTATGCTAAGCTAATCTGTTTAACTCTAAAGGAACTGTAAAATGAGTTCCTTTAAAGGGGTAAAAATCCTTCATCAAATCCAAATCTTTCATCATTTAATCTTAAATACTTGTTGTTTGTGTGGCAGTGAAGTTCTTGAAACTCTTTTTTTTTTGACATTTGGGCATGATGCTAATTGTTTAATCCGATTCAATGATCTATGCTAAGCTAATCTGAAGAGTTGTAAAATGAGCCTATTTCCAAAAAAGTGAAGAGTTCTTTTAAAGAGTTTAAAATCAAATCTGCCATCATTTAATCTTAAGCACTAGTTGTTTGTTTGGCAGTCTTAAAACTCTTTTTTTTTTTTTTTTTTTTACATTTGGGCAAGATGCTAATGGTCTAATCCAATTCAATAATCTATGCTAAGCTAAACTGATGAGTTGTAAAATGAACCCATTTCCAAAACAAGTGAAGTCTTTCTTTAAATGGGTAAAAATCTGTCATCATTTAATTTTAAGTATTTGTTTGTGTGGCAGTGGAGGTCTTGAAACTTTTTTTCCATTTGAGTGAGATGCTATTGGTCTAATCTGATTCAATGACCAACGCTAAGCTAAGCTGTTTAACTCTAGAGGAGCTGTAAAATTAGTTCTTTTACAAGGGTAAAAATCTAATCTTTCACCCTTTAATCTTAAGTACTTGTTGTTTGTGTGGCAGTGAAGGTCTTGAAACTCTTTTTTGACATTTGGACCAGATGCTAATGGTCCAATCCAATTCAATGATCTATGCTAAGCTAAGCTGAGTAGTAAAATGAGCCTATTTCTAAAAGAATTGAGTGTTCCTTTTAAGGGCTAAAAATCTAATCTGTTATCATTTAATCTTAAGTACTTGTTGTTTGTGTGGCAGTGAAGGTCTTGAACTCTTTTTTGACATTAGGGCAAGATGCTAATGGTCTAATCCAATTCAATGATCTATGCTAAGCTAAGCTAAGGAGTTGTAAAATTAGCCAAAAAAGTAAAGTGTTCCATTAAATCAGGGGTGCACAAACTTTTCTGTAGAAAAGGCCAAAAAGAAATATCATCAAGAGCCATAGGCTGAAGGTAAATATACCAAGCTATATTACATTAACGTTGCTATAGTAATTTCCTCATTCATTTCATATTTCAAAATAAAATGAAAACATTACTTTGAATCATATGAAGTAATGCAGAATAACTTTTTAAATTTTAACTTATTGCAATAAAAACAAACAATCCCGATTAAAACAGTGGAGTTCAATGCTAAATACACAGGTCAAGCAGAATCTGCCTTTGACTTGATTTGCTAACCAAATTCTCTGCATTGTCAGGTAACAGTATTTACATTTAAACGAAGCCTGATTAATTTACACCATTTAATTAAAACAGTTAATTTCAGTTAGATTTTAACAATAAAATCAAACAAACAAAGGGTTACATTAAATTTGAATTGACAATCTTGAAACCATCCTCATCGTTCCCCTCTCTTCTCAGGTGAGAAATCAAAGGTTACTATGGGCCAACTTTGGCCAGCGGGCCCTAGTTTGGGCATCTTTGCTTTAAAGGGGTAAAAATCATATCTGCCATCATTTAATCTTAAGTTGTTTAATGACAGTAAACGTCTCCCTTCTACCATAATTGATAGCTCAATAGCATTTTTACAAACATGTTTAGCTTTTCTGTCATCTACTTTATAAGCCAGTTTTTCCAAGTGCTCATTGTGAAGACAAATCTCTTAAAATGTAACTTATCCTAACTTGTTTGGCTTAGTCAAAAGGGTTTAACCAGTGAATGCAAGTAATAAATGTGAAAGTTGGTATGGAGATGAAAAATAGTCTAATGTAACAAGGGTGAGTAAACGATGACCAAACTTTCAGTTTTGGGTAAAATACCCCTTTAAAGGTTACATTTGATCAACAGATACCAAACTATCAAATTCAACTGCCATTTATTTTTCAATTATAATAAGCAACATTCAAAGACAAAACTGAAAGCAAAGCCAATGGTTTGTGTCGGCAGTGAACTATAATGAGCTGGGGACACTGAATGCTTGCCTGAGGTAAACATTATGCTATTTGAGTTCAGTTTTTACAAGCTGTTTTATTGACATTTTTCTAAACACTGGTTGAGTGATTATGAGAGAACACAGCCAGAAACTAAACGTGTCAAATTAGGCTCTGAATAGTGGCTAAAACAACAATGTGTTCCAATACAAATGCATACCAAACAAAAGAAACCTGTCCTCCATTTAAAAAAACGCTTTTCGGTTTTTGGAAATGTGTTAATTTTACAATTTGCCTAGAGTTTAGTTTTACAATTTTTATATCAATTATCGCATCTGGCACGAGCATTTTAGCTTTGGTTATCATAAAAAAAATTATTGAATCAGATTAGACCATTAGCCTCTCAAATGAGTTTGGATCATTTTCATATTTGAAGCTTGACTCTTCTGTAGTTAGTGCAAACACTAGTGCACTGACAGAAAATAATCCAGACATTTATTTCCTAAATATTTGACATATTGTTTAAGAAAATAATTTTTATGTAGGTCTTAGTACATGTAACTACAGAAAAGTTTTAAATAGTAAAAATATTTTAAACTCTTTTCTAATCAATGACCTATGCTCATCTAAGCTTTTTAACAGTTGTAAGATGTCATCTTCATATCTCATCTAAACTAAAAGTTTAGATGAGATACAGCTATGAATATTCGTGTCCATATAGCAGAATTTTTTTGACACTGTACAACAACAAATACAAATTTTACACAAGTAATGGGTTTAGTGTTGGGGTAGTTGTTAACTAAATACAATAAATGGATGATTTAATTTGTATAATTAACATTTAACAATACTGTGAGGGTTGAGTTTAAGGATAAGGTAAGGGTAGATGTTAATAAAATACATTTTCTTTTCGGCTTAGTCCCTTTATTAATCAGGGGTCGCCACAGCGGAATGAACCGCCAACTTATCCAGCACATGTTTCATGCAGCGGATGCCCTTCCAGCTGCAACCTATCTCTGGGAAATACACACTCTTCCACTATGGACAATTTAGCCCACCCAATTCACCTGTACCGCATGTCTTTGGACTGTGGGGGAAACCGGAGCACTCGGAGGAAACCCACACGAATGCAGGGAGAACATGCAAACTCTACATAGAAACTGACACAGCCGAGGGTCGAACCAGTGACCTTCTTACAGTGAGGCTACAGCACTAAAAAAAAAAAAAAAAAAAAAAAGAAATTAAACTATTTTTTGTTAACTTCCAGCCAATGCTGTATCCCTTCTAGCATCAACCGAGTTGTAAAATGAGGCTATTTCCAGAAAAAAAGGTGCAGTGTTCCTTTAAAGGGGTAAAAATCTAATGTCAAGATTTCCTCACCTGTAACCACTGACTTCCACAGTAGTTTTTTTTCCTACTATGGAAGTCAATTGTTACCTCAAAAACAAATTCTTCTTTAGTGTTCAACAGAGGAAAGAAGCTCAAAGAATATGGAACCACATGAGGGCGAGTAGACTTTCATTTTCAGGTGAACTTCACTATTAAGTACAGTTGAAGTCTGAATCATTAGCCCCTCTTTGAATTAGTTTTCTTTTTTAATTTTAAATATTTCCCAAATTATGTTTAAAAGAGCAAGGAATCTTTCACAGTATGTCTGATAATATTTTTCTTCTGGAGAAAGTCTTATTTGTTTTATTTTGGCTAGAATAAAAGCAGTTTCTAATTTTTTAAACACCATTTTAAACTCAAAATTATTAGCCCCTTTAAGCCTATTTTCTTTCTTTAGTCTAGATCGTTATACAATAACTTGCCTAATTACCTTAACTTGCCTAGTTAACCTAGTTAAGCCTTTAAATGTCACTTTAACCTCTTAAGGCCCAAAGGTGTTTTTTACATGATTTTTTTTTATTTCTCTTTGCTATTTGGGCTTATTGGAACCTAATTAGAATAAAGATCTAAGTGTCATCTTTTGATATGATGTACTTTTAGAGAAAAATGATGTCCATATATGTGGACTTGTGGTCCGAATTTACATGAAACATTTTGCTGACTGTTTTTTACCGCATATTTAACATAGAATTATTTTTTTTAACTTGCTTTGACTATCAGAGTATAAAATTAACATTTTTTCCCCATCTTTGGACAGTTAAAAATAGGGTTTGAGATATTTCATATGCTGCAAAACAGTTGCAGGATGACACTGTACGTCTGTAACAAAATATAAAACATTCAAAGTATTATAAATAGTCACTTAGGAGCTAAAATGTGCTGTCCACATATGTGGCCACTAAGCCCTGGGAGGTTAAGCTGTATAGAAGTGTCTTGAAAAATATGTAGTGAAATATTGTGTACTGTCATCATGGCAAAGATAAAATAAATCAGTTATTAGAGATGAGTTATTACAATTATTATGTTTAGAAAAGTGTTGAAAAAAAAAATCCTCTCCATTAAAAAGAAATTGGGGGAAAAAATAAACAGGGGGGCTAATATTTCTGACTTCAACTGTATGTACTGAATACACCAAGCGTCGCTCTTTATCTTCCAGTAATGTGTAATAAAGCCTTTTAAAACTGTTCACACACACTGAAAAAAGATTGATTGGATTTACTCATTTTTTAAGGTAAGTGGTTGCAAACAATTTATATAGGCTGAATTTAAACAAACAAATTCAATTCAGTAATACTCAATTTACCAAATACCCACATAAATGCAGTAAATCCAATGAATTTTTTTTTTCAGTGCAGATGATCTTCTTGTACGCCTGTGGGATTCATTCATTCAGCTACAAATATACTGTAGACCACTCTCACCTTCTTGGACCTCCAGCAGCGGCAGTAGACGGCCTTGCTTCCGATGTCCTCCATGTCGAAGCTGTGCACCACTTTGGGACTGTCTTTGTTGATGGTCAAGTTGACTCTGCTCTTGGGGCTGCTCTGTGAACTGAAGTAGCGCATCAGCATGTAGGTGCTCAGAGCCGCAGCCACTGCAACAGGAACGATGGTGGTCAGCTGATCTGGAAATGTACACACGAGGAGGGGCTGGGATTTCAGAGGGCCCGCAGGACGCCCACACTCTATTCTACACAATCAGCCTCATACATTCATTCATTCATTCATTCATCTTCAGTTTTGTTCCCGATTATCAGGGGTCGCCACAGAGGAATGAATCGCCAACTACTCCGGCATATGTTTTACACAGCGGATACCCTTCCAACGGCAACCCAGTAGTGGGAAGCACCCATACACACACTTTTTTTATTCATTATATTTGTCAAATTTGAGTCCAGCAAAAGAATCAGACAAATTGTTCAGCAGACGGTCATGGTAAAAACTGGATTTGTCTCTTTAAAAATCCTTTATTTATTTATTTATTTATTTATTTAATTAAGTTTCACAAACTAATTTCGAGAGGAGCACGTGATATGATTGACTGCAGCTGGCCACTCATCTACACTCATTGGCTAGCCAATCGGATTGATCCAAACTCACTATAAGTAACCTAGCTAAGATCTACTCCCTTACCTTCGTTTTCCGAAGAAACCCCTCATCCACCCCTTCTCCTCCTTTCCTCTTTTGCCGAGGGGCACTCTCGAGAACACATGACCTTGTACTCCTCTCACATGCTTTATGGACCTGGCGGGAGCCCTGGGCTCAACTATCTCCGAGCTCAGGGTTCTCTCCCGGGACAGCATGCCAAACCTGCTAACAAGTTGTCAAACAGTATCTAAGTGTGAACTCTTGAATTTATTTATTTATTTATTTTGTCAAATGTAGTTTGAATTTTTTTTTTAATATTTTAATATATTTTTATTTTAATCATTCTTAAATAGGGGTCGATTTTAATATTACACATCAAAAATGCAGGTTTAGGAAACTCTAATAATGAAGAACATTTTATTTAACAAAAACAAAACTTTCCATCCGGAGCTCCTTCACAAGCTATACACTTGTAAACACTCTCTCCATCGGGCTCGCGTGGCTCTCAGTCCCTGACTCGTCAGCGATACAAAGCCGACCAATCACAGAGCTTGCGCTACGCGTCGTTGCGAAGTGTAGTTACCTTTTTTTTGAGAGGTGCACGTCAGTGATGCTGACGACCACGGCGACATGTAAGCAGCTCCGTAGCATACGCGTGTGTTTAACGCAGAAGTATAAATCAACCTTTAGACGTCTATTAAGCACAAAATTACACTGAGTTAAGTTGGTTTTATATTTGCACAATCGTTCAGTAACGGTCCCCATATTGTTTGCAACACTACTTTGTATATTTGTTCTGATTTCCTGACTTCAAAACAACATATCAGCACTATTGACTGTAGACAATGTACTTCAAGAGTTCCCACTTAGATATGCTAAGCGTTTATAGTAGGTTTGGCACGCTGTTCCGGGAGAGAACCCTGAGCACTGAGATATTTGAGCCCAAGGCTCCCGCCGGGTCAATAAGCATATCAGGAAATCCGAGATCAGGTAGGTCTCGAGAGCTCCCACTTGGAAAAGAGAGGAAAAGGAGGAAATGGGGTGGAAGGGGGGATTCTTGCAAAACAAAGATAGAGCAGTAGGGAGAAAACAATCCATTTATTGTAAACTAAGATCACTCTGATTGGATTATTACTAATTACAGATGAGCTGCCAGTCGTGCTCAATCATATCACGTGCTCCTCTCGAAATGAGTTTATGAAACTTTACTTTGACAGTCAATGGCTGCTAATATGACATCTTTATTCTGAGTTTTCAAAGAATATTTTTCTGATATTATGGGATATTGTACCAAAAACGTACACTTTCGCTTATAAAAATGTGACAGGGGCTGACTTAAGCTTGTCGCCCTAAAAAAACATACAAAAACAAGCAGAAAAATCAAACAATTCAATGACAGAATGCATCCTTGATCACGGGCTGCTTCTTCTTCATCAAATTATGTCACTTGCGGCTGGGAAGTTCCGAGTCATGGCTTTAAACGTGTAATGCTTGCCTTTTAAAGTAAATGTGACAGGACCGACAGAAACATGGGGACAATTGTAAATGTATTTGTATTAAATAATTGTAGTATTTAATTGTAGACTTGATTTATAATTTTATGTTTTTAATCAATTGATGTGAATGATAACAACATAAACTAGCTATTTCTGAAGTATTTTTGATTCTAAATAACGGTTTTTAGCATAATAAAACTATTAAAGCTGTAGGTTCAATTGGGTTGAGGACAAGGACAATGACAGGGTTTGTACTTTTGTAATGCGTTTTTAATAAAGAACAAAAATCTGAGCACGGAATGAACGACATATTTCTTAACAGAACAACTCACAGAAATCAACCATCAGTCCAATTTAGACATTTTGTGATGAAATACTTTTTATTCACTGTATTTAAGTTTTTATTTCAGTTACAGATAATGTATGTTTCTTGTAGAATGTGCTTTAAATTATTAAGGAGAAAGTGCAAACTATAAAACCAACTTTACCTTATTCAAAATTACTTGGTGGGAAAGGTACTGTGTGTCTTTATGTGTCTGGCGGTCCTAAGTGTTATAAAATGAAACTTAAGCAGCGGTAAAATATAGTCAGGACATAATAAATCGACACTGCAGCACTGTAATCCTGGTCAGGTGAGAAGGATTCGTTCAGTGGAGTGATTTCCGCGAATCGGTTCTTCCGAACGATTTCTTTTCAATGAACTGTCATGATCACGTGATTACCTAAACCTCAACGTGATATAACATAAACATGTTACATGTGTGAGCATGTTTATAATGTACGTTTTATTTGTGAGCGTTATCACATTGCACAGATTCTACAAAAGTGATTCGTTTGGACTCAAAAGAATCATTTTGTTCATGTTTTCCAAGACATGAAAACAACTTTGTCAAGCTCGTGATTTGCGCATAATAATCGCTGCAAAGTGGTGTCACCAATAATGCAGTTTTAGCCTACTAAAACACCTACCACAGCACTTACACTTATTATAATTGATGCAATATTAACTTAGTCAATCGTTGTAACACACATGCAAACCTATGACCTACTAACGCGTCCATGCAATAAACGCCATACTCACCTGAACTGTGTGCATGTTAGAATGTTAATGTGTCTGTCTAAAGTCATTTGAAGTCAATTGAAATTAACACAGCATTAGGATACACACGGCTAATTTGAATATGCCGACAAATTCACTGTTGATTTGTTTTACAGCAAAGGCAGTCGACCACGGTTGCAATAGGCTTTATGTTATAAATGAAAACATCGTTCTTACCTTTAGATACTTTGAAACCCGGTATTAATCCCGGTTTATTTAGCGCCGAAAGCCCTGGAATTTGAAATGCCATGACAGGTATTGCTTTTTGGACTTCAAGTTTAAGGGCACTACAAGGTCTGAAAGACGCTGAACCGAAATGAGTCGCCGTCACTGCGGAACACTGCGTGATTGCGTCACTGGATATCTGTCCAATCGCTGGAGAGCGTAAAAGCACAGTTCAGATTACTGTAAACATGGAGCCCAAATCCTCTTTGACGTTACACTGGCAGTTTGCTAATTAGGGCTTTTGTTATACAGTAACTATTTATTGAAATATTATATTAATGTTAATGTTTATATTTATAATATATAAACAGGGTTTCTACAGGTTTTTAAGTTACATTTAAGACTTTTTAAGACCATTAGGAATAAACCAGGCTAAACGCTAAGGATTTTTGAATGGCCCAGTTAAAACATTAAAAACAAATGTTATTGTAAGGAAAATAATTAAACAATATGTTATAAATAGAGTTATTACATAGAGTTAATACATAAGATTCAGTAAGTATAACTTGTTAAAACTTACTGAGATGGAATGATAGTGATTGGAGTGTTGGCCCAATTTAGCTCGCTTAACATGGACACAAGAAAATCAAGACCAGTTTAAAATTATTTAAGACAATATTTCAATGAATTGAATGCTTTTAAGGCCTGAATTGTTTTTAAATTTAAGACTTTAAGACTGTGGATACCATGATAAAGTCAATTAAATAGAAAAACCTTAACAGAGGTGTCACTTTAATCTGACTAAAAATATTATCTTAAATAAATCTTTATGTCAAACTACTGAAAACATGAAACCAGTATGTAATAAACATTTATTTTTGTATTGGACCATTTTACAGCTGTTAATAAACTCTTCACACCAACTGCTTGCATAAAATTACTATTGTATAAAGGTAATCATTTCCAAATGAGCCTTCTTAAGATAAATGCCTTGTTTACTTGTTAATTTTTTGCAGAATAACATGCCATCAAATAAACCACTTAAAACTATTTTGTCCTTTACTCCAAAAAGCTGAGCTCATAACAGATTAATGAACAATTTTTGCTATTAAAAAAATCCCTCGACTTCTACTATGGTACAATAGTTGCGACAGTATTTATTAGCACTTATTGATCAATCAGTGCGCGTTTAACATTTGCTTTGTGCTAAAGAACCACATATTGGCTAGCAGATGCCAGAACAAGAACTTTAGGATTCATACCCCTTCAGGAGGACGTGTGTTTGAAACTAGACTTCTACCATCTGTTAAACAAACACATCAGGAAAAAAAAACACGCAGACAAAATGCTTCAGACTTTAGTAATCATTTTATTACACAGTTTTAATCAACACACAAAGCTCAACGAGCCTGTCAGGAAATTAAATATACAGAAGTTTGTTTGTGAAGAGTTTGTGTCCTCTCACCCAGGGACCCAATCGAGTCTGGCTGAACCATGTTAGCATCTAATTCAACAAGAGCAGGAAAAAAAAAAAAAAAAGAAACAAAAATGCAACCTAAGTGTTACAAGTGTGGTTTGGGGGAAAGAAAATAAAATAAAACAAAAAAATAAGACAAATGCTATAGAGACTGGTTTAAATAACTGGTCCGGAACCCTCCATAATGTTGAATGTTCGTGAAGTTGGTCAAGGCTAAAAGGAAAGGGGTCGAGACAGTCTTTGCTGCAGCAAATGGAAACAAAATATATATATATTTAATAGTTTTCAAGTCCATTAGAATACTCCGGAGGAGAGGACAGGAGGTCCATTTTCCTTTAACTGCTATGATTTTAAAAGAATTCCTTAGAGATTTTATACAATAAGATAGCCAGCATACCCCTCCCTTCTCTGGAACAAAGAAATAAAGCAAAAAAATAATAATTCCTGATCCAAAATGTACTGTTGGAAGCCCAGGAAGTGGACAAAGTAAAAAAAAAAAAACTAAAGAAAGAAAAAAACATCCCTCGATGTTCAGACTATCACAAACTGCAGGGAGAAAATAAATGATAACAATAAAGCCCTCCCTTTCCAGTTCTTAAAAACAACAAGGAATGCTTTTAGAGCCATAAACACTTTCTACAGCATAATTGATACGGACTGATCCTAAGCAGCGGGTGCGTCGCCCTAGCAACGGAGAAGGGAAAGCAGAAGCTGTGGAGTGGAGGTCTGAATTTGGGAAAGAAAAGGGCCTACGGTTGTAGTTCGAGTATGTACACCATGGCTGCCAGAGGGCTAAGAGTTGGGGGAGGTGCTCTGGTGAGGGGAGGCGTGGCTTAAAGAAAGCACTCCAATGGAAACCAACAAGATCTGTTTTTTTTTTCATAAGCTTTTTCGTTTTTATCTTTTGAACGTTCAAAATCTCCCCTAACCTTACGATGGAGAGGTGTAATTCTCACATCATGATTTTTATCTCCAAAACTACATTGCATACTTTTGTGTCCATTCCCGAGCTATTCTGTTGTACCTGTAAGGGAAGAGAAAGAAAATTACATTTACTAAAATGAAAATCAAGAAGCTTTTTGCAGAAGCCGGTTTACAAGAGCAGTTTACCATGTAAGCCTTTAGACTTTGACAATTATTGTCAACAGAATATAACAAAAATTGATTTTAATTAGAAGTGAACTTTATTCTTTGGTGTCATATACAGTTCTTAACAATTGCCATTTTAAGATTAATTTAATACTTATATTAAACGTGCAAATACACCATTGTTATAGTGGAAAAGCTCTTCTCAGTTGCTCAAATAAACATGACTCAAATACTGCAATCCAGGGATGCATCGACATGCGAATTTTGGCCTGAATCCAAAAATGTTTATAAAAATGATTCATCTTATTGAATAAAGTTGTAAAACTTGTAAAGAATTACCAACTTGCATTATACACAATTTTTTTTTTTTTTAGAAAAGCAAAAATTTTACCATCGTTACCATCACAACTCCAGTCCCGTCTACATTTTATTTAAGCAGGCTCTACTTTTCCAATTAGTATGTGTGGTTCATGAATACGGTTACATGAGTGAAACAGATGTGTAGAATGTTGAGCTAATTTCAACTGTGACCGCGCGGCACAAACAAGATGGATGACAATGCTTTCTGCAACTCTAGTGCTTTGGTCGCCCTGCAACTTACAACCACTGAACAGCCCTGGCCCCTGAAATGAATGGCTTTCCTAGCGCAGTGCTTTCCACATCCAGGATGAAAGCCACTTCATAATATGCATTAACTATGGCTGGAAAGAAATCGGCATGCTGAACACTGCTGCCTTTTCCAGCTCATATTTTTCTTTTCTTAGACAATATGTCATTTTCAGCGGCCAAAACTTTGATGCGTTCCTACTAGGCATGGGATAGTATAAGTTTCTGATGGTATTACAAACTTGGAAATTATTGACGTCTGCTGTCTTTATTAGTTTCAAAAACACAGACTTTACAACACATTAAAAATACACTAAAAATATACCTAAGGAATGGTATAACACAATTTTAGCAGTTTTAAAATCTTGACTTTTCCAAACCGCGGCAAACCTTGAAACCGTTTATAATCCCATGCCAAATCCCTGCTTTAATCTCGTCTACAATGGGAAACATTAATGCACATTTAACTAAAATAAAACAGTAAACTGAAAAAAATTTGTTTAATACTGAATCTATAATGACATTTACCTGTCAGCGCAATACATATTTACCTTCAAATACTAGAAAACTAGTAAATTGTTGTTCTGAGCCAGTAATTGACAAATCACTATAAAGGAACTCTTCAGTTTTCCCTTGAGTCTTCATAATGTCCTGCCTCAGACAGCTTTTTACACCAACATTGTCAAAAGTAGTTTAGAGTTAACAAATCAAATTGTAGTCTGCTGGCATTTAATTCCTATTTCTCTTGAATTTGATAACCGAATTCTCCAGGCGAAATTATTATATGCATCATGGTCCGATAAAAACAAACACTAGATGCTCGTTCAGCATTTTGTTGCCTCTTATGACAGCACCTATAGGAAAAGGCAAAAGGGCAAGTGCACACTGCACAGGACGACACTCACTTTTCCCTGTCAGTCTTGTAAATGCGGGCGATCTCAGGTACTAAGGGGTCGTCCGGATTAGGGTCACACAGCAGGGAGCAGATGGACAGGAGAACTGCAGAGCAAGAGAAAACATTAGCGTAAAGAAACTTTAACAGAGCGGTGTCCTTGCTTAAACACAGCGGACATCTAATAGTAGGACACTCATTCATAATGGAATACATTAAGCATAAGTGGTACAAGTTGCTTAAATGTACATTCATAGAAATTTTATTAGAGCTGCACGATTCTGGCTAAAATGAGAATCGCAATTTTTTTGCCCTAAATAAAGATCACGATTTTCTCACTATTCTGTAGATGTAAAATAAAGGTTAATATGAGTGGGCTTCTCTTTTTGTTATTCTCAAACATGTGGTAAAACAGCAATAGGCTTTGTGTAGCTGTACTGTTGGTTTAAATGCTAAATTTTGTATAGACTTGGAATGGGGGACTTGAACAGACTTTAGATTTGTCCTGGTCATTAATGCTGATGATAATTCTGATGTTGAATTATTGTGTTTGACACACGTTTACAATCTGTAATTTTCTGCTCAAATCTGTCACTGACATGATTTTCGTGATATTGGGCACTAAAGTTGGATTACTAGATTTATTTTGGATTGTGCAATGATTACGCCACAGGGATTGTACTCATGATTGGTACTTTTTGACAGTTATTTATGTGACTAGATTGGCTTTACGTGACAACCACTAAGTGCAATTTGCCAATGTTTTGAAATTCCGTTTAATAATAAGCAATACAAAAATAATTAAAAGATTAGATTTGGGAACAATTAAATTTTGGAGAATTCATACAATACACATTTCATTGTACAAGTGCACTATCTGACAAAAGTCAAAACCTATCCAAGTTTTAGGAACAACAAATAATACCGTGATTATTTGGTTGATCAGAAGAGGCCTCTATGAAAGTCAAAGGCCTCTAGATTACGCTTACTTTACCAAAATATGATCATGTCTTGATTTTTATTTAGGACAGTAAGGTCTGACTTTGCTTAGACAAAAGTCTTGTCACTTAGTAGAAATAATCTTCAATGTAGAATATAAAGTCATAGTGCAGTGGGAAAAGAATTAATAT